CATAATATTCATTGAAATAATAATTCAAACAATGGTAACAAATACTCACTTATAATGACTTGAATTGTAATAAGTTTTTGAATGATTATGTGTTCTTTCATTTGAGTTCAGACTACTCTTGGCTTCAATCTTGAGAGCTGTCTTGAGATCTGTCTTGAGTTCTGTCTTGAGTTCTGTCTTGGATTCACTCCTGTGTTCAGTCTTCTCCGGTTTCCTTTCATCGTATGCCTTATCCATACGATTAGGTCTTTCATTGCGATAATCTCTGGTGTAATCGTTTGAATACCGATTATCTGTTTTGTGAACACTTTCTGGCCTTCGGTTGCGATCAGAATATCTTAAAAACGAGATAAAAGTGAACACCGAATGACACACTCATTACAAACCTATTGGAGTTGTGGTAATAGTAATCATGTGAGCGATAGTGTGGTCTTCGGCGGTAGTGGTCGCTGTGCTCGCGATTATTATCCCTGAATGTGGTGTGACTTGTGTTGCCATCGGTTGCGGCCATAAAGTAGTTCATGTGCTTAACGTTATTGTTATTATTAACGCATTGTTTAGCGATCGTTGAGTCACTTCTTGCGGTCGTATTTGATCCGACATTAGAGTCGGAACACGTCTTCAAATCGTTTGCGNCGGTTGCGGTCATAAAGTAGTTCATGTGCTTAACGTTATTGTTATTATTAACGCATTGTTTAGCGATCGTTGAGTCACTTCTTGCGGTCGTATTTGATCCGACATTAGAGTCGGAACACGTCTTCAAATCGTTTGCGTTTGGTTTCAGTCGTTCACCACTTCTGGAACTCATCATTGAATCGTCCGAAAGACAAATGGTTTACACTTTTCTCACAACTGATCACTCAATGAATGAAATGGTATTTCAATTGAATGTCAATTAAAATGACATTTGAGTGTAAAATGCGTTCAAAACACGCATTCATTTGAATTGATTATGAAATACGAAAACATTACAAAACAAACCAAAACTCAATATTGCATTGCGTTATGAAACTAGTGTTGTATTGAACGCCATCTGACGGCCAGTAGTGATGACAGCATTGAGTGTTTGTGTGAAAAGCAAAACATAAACACAACACAAGTGTTGACAACGAAAACCAATTGAACACTAAATGTGAGACAATTGTGAAGACAAAGACATTGTTATAATCGGTGACACAAATCAAAGACAATCAAAGACTGAAGTGAATGTTGTGGTGAAGTGTTTGTTGCGATTATCTCCTCATGGGTTACGACTGTTCGCGTTTCACGGATGAGATATCGGAAGAGCTGTTGTGCTCGATATGCAGCGAAGTGCTGGAGGAGGCGCTGACCACGGATTGCGAGCACCTGTTCTGTCGCCAGTGTATCACCGAATGGCTGTCAGTGAACCGGACGTGTCCTATAGACCGGCTCTACATCACTGCCCGCAACCTGAAGGCCGCGCCGCGTGTTGTCCGCAATCTGTTGGGAAAGCTGGACATCCGCTGCGACTTCGCGCCCGACGGCTGCCAAACGGTGGTGGCGTTGGAAGCGCTCGAAAAGCATGTCAACGACTGTTACTATAACCCGAAGAAGCGCTTGTGTTGTCAGAAGGGATGCGACAAATGGATGACACGGGAAGAGCTGAAGACACATAACTGTTGGAATGATATCCGCAAAGATATGTTACGACAGGAGCGGGAGATCGTGGACCTGAAGCGGTGGCGAAACGCCCTCTTCTTCGCCATAGCGTTGTTATTGTTGTATATCTTGTGTCCGACTCTACTCTTCAGCTTTTATTTCGAAAATCTCTTCATTTTCGAGTCAAACAAATGATATGACAATACAATCGCTTCAAAAGAAATGTTTGCCTTTTTATGCTCTCAAATGAAATGCAAAAGTATTTTGTTTTCACAATAAAAGACATTACAATATATTTTAATGTTTTATATAAGAGTTTTAATCGACGTTTAGTGGATTTATTATTTAATAATAGATCAAATATTTGTATCATTTATTGTATTTCAAAGCCTATATGAAAAGTGTATTTAAAAATTTATAGATAAATATTATACTTATTATTAGTAAAATAT